CCAAGGGCCCATCCAGTCCAACACTCTGTCACACAGTGGCCAAAAATACCAGGTACTATCAGGAGGTCCACCAGTGGGGCCAGGACACTAGAAGCCCTCCCACTGTCGCCGCTCCCCCCCAGCACCAAGAATACAGAGCATCACTTGCCCCAGATGAGAGTCCCTATCTATACCTTGTGGCTAATAGCCACTGATGGACCTCTGATCCATGTGTTTATCCAATTCCCTCTTGAAGCCGTCCATGCTTGTAACCGCTACCACCTCCTGTGGCAGTGAATTCCATGTGTTAATCCTCCTAGGTGTACACAGTATTGCAGTCTCAGACGTGATTCATATAGACTGCAATTTGAAGGACACTTTCCTAGGAGTAAGCCCCATTGAATAACATGGGACCTACTTCTGAATAGAGCTCCCTAGGATAATTGTCTGGGTAAATGGGGCCATGTTTCTTGTCCATGCCCAGCCTATAGTGTGCCACTAAATGTATTGCCAAAGCTGTGCTTTCATATATTTGTCTATTTACTTTAAGAGTACTGAGATGAGCACAAGCAAGAACAAAGATATGGATTATAATAAGTAGTAAGGAGGATTTTTTTCCTCAAGATTATTTAAGCATTCAGATAAGAATGATTGTGAACAATCCCCACTAATCAGGGGATATTGTGGGTAGGCAGAGCTGGTTGGGTAAGAAGGGTAGAGAAGCACCCCTGCTTTTGAGGGATGCCAGTTGTTTTTAACCAGAACATCTTATTCTCTAAAGTCATGATTTTGATTATTTTGTTTTAATTTACCTCATTTATATCTTACCTTTTTATTTATTTACTTTCTTATACTCTACCTTTCTCCCCCATGGGGACCCAAAATCATTTACATCATTCTCTTCTCCTCCGTTTTATCCTCACAACAATCCTGTGAGGTAGGTTAGGCTAAGAGCCGGCCCATAGCTACCATGGAGCCCATGGGGCCTGCCCCCTGTGGTTTTTGTGGGCCCCTCCCCCAATCCTCGTATCCACCTCCCCCCGGCCCCCTCCCCTCGTTCGATCACTTCTTCTCCCCCACATTCTAGATGGCCGGGCTCAAGGCGAAGCCAGCCCCAGCCCAGGCCAGCGAGCAGGCGGGCAACAGGGTTTGGCCCTGGGTCAGTCTCTGATGGGCTGGGCTGGGGGGGGGACGGGGCTTGGCCCGGTGCTTCTCGCTGGGTGGTGCTGTGGCTGAGCAGGTGAGCAGTGGGCCAGGACAGCGAGGCGTTTTGTGCCCACCGCAGGCAGGGCGAGGCGGGAGGGAGGCAGGGAGTCCCCGGTGGCTTGGAGCAGTAGCCACGCCACCCCTGTGATAAAGGCCAGCAGAGGCAGCAGAGGCAGAGGGTGTGTGTGTTAGATACGAGACTCGAGGCAGCAGGTGAACAGTGATAACAGCTTTATTGAACATGTAGTCAGAAGAACAGAACAAGACAAATCAATGGAGCAACAGGCTCCTTTTTAAACTGTCCGGGTTTGGCAAGCCACACCCACATATCAGCTAAGGTCCAATCAAATACTGTACATAAAGGCCAATCATTTCTCTTCCCTCCAGAACTTCCTTTGTTCTGATATGTCTATTTACAGTACCTTTCAAGATTTCAAGCTCAGTACATTCATTCCATTCCATTCCATTCCATTCACAACAATCCTCCCCGCCTAAGATGAGACAACCCTTGAGCAGTCATACTCACTCAAGTAAGCAGGACGCTGCTTGACCCGTTGGGATCATCTGATATTTACTGCAGGAGGGGAAGGAGGAAAAACTTTGGGCTCCCTGTAAGTGGGTTCAGTATGATTCCGAATGGGACTGAGAGTTCGTGGCCGATACGCATAGTCATGGCTCTGCCCACCCTCGACTATGCCTAAGGGTTCCAGTGCTTGGAAGCCCTCAAACAGTTCGGAGTCCGAAGACTCTACCTGACTGTCCAAGTCAGGTACATTGGCCACCTGGGGAAGGGAATCAGGGACTGAGTCAGCCCACCGCTTGTGCAATTGGTCAACATGGCACTTCATCACTCTACCATCGTTAAGCTTTACAGTATAGTGGCGAGACCCGAGGACACGTGTTACTGTGCCTGGCAACCACTTATGACCGCTACCGTAATTCCTTGCAAATACACATTCACCCTCAGTAAACACCCTGGGTTGTTCAGTTGACTCACTGTTTGGTGGCCTGGCGGAGGTTAAGTCTGGGTGCATAAGGTCTAGCAAGGTGGTAAGGCGTCAGCCCATTAACAGCTCAGCTGGACTCCACCCCATCACGGAGTGCGGCGTGACGTCTTGGCGCAGCAAGAAGGATGCCCCCATCTGGCCCCAGTTTCCCTGCACCAAACGACCCAAAGTCTCCTTTGTAGTCCACACCATTCTTTCGGCTTGCCCGTTGGTTGCCGGGTGGAATGGTGTGGATGTGCTGTGGGCGATGAGGTTTGCCGCCAAAAACTCTTTGAATTCACTGGCCGTGAAGCATGTCCCGTTGTCAGACACCAGAGTGTCTGGCAACCCGTGTGTTGCAAACAGTTTCCTCAATACATTTATTACAGTTTGTGTAATACGTAAACAACTTCATATGTATGATGCCAGGGTGGCATTCGTGCAAAGCCTCTAAGTCTTGTTCCCTTAGCTTTGGGGGAACCACCACCCTGTTGCCCCATAGCAAACATCCCCGGTGTACCGACAATTTATTTTGCCATGAGCCCAGCCTCTTGGAATTTACGTAAGACGGACCTGAGGCAGTCTGTCAGTTCTTCCTTGGACCGGCCGGCAATCAACACGTTGTCGAAATAGGGGACCACCCCAGGCAGGCCCCTTAACAAACCCTCCATTAGGCCTTGGAATATTCCTGGTGCCACGTTCACGCCAACCTGAAACAGTTTACCTTGAACACACCCCTGTGCATGACAATAGTTTGCGCCATGGCAGCCTGGGGGTCTCCTGGCAGCTGTTGATATGCCTGGGCCAGGTCTAATTTGGTGAAAACCTTAGCCTCCCCTAGTGACGCCAGCATGTGACTGCAGAGCCTTGTTGACTGTGCATTTGTAATCAGCACATATTCGGATAGACCTGTCAGGCTTTACTGGTGTCACGATAGGGGTCTCCCATTTTGAGTGTGACACTGGCTCAAGCACACCTTGAGACACGAGCTTGTCTAGCTCGGCCTCTATACGCAGTTTCAACTAAATCTGAACCTTGCGATATTGAAGCCGTATAGGCGCTACAGCACGATCTAGGTCAAACGTTACAGGAGGCCCTCTATACATTCCCAGAGTACCATCAAAAACATCTACAAATTCCACATACAGCGAATTCAATTTGTTTTCATTGACTTGGTTGATACCACTTATTGCAATCCCGAGGGCCTCAAACCAGTCTAAGCCCAACACACTGGCTCGGCACCCCTTGGCAACAAGGAGACTCAGAGACTCCTTGAACCCTTTGAATTGTACCTCAAATGTGGCCTCGCCGGCCACAGGGATGCACCTTCTCTGAAAATCAGAAAGGTGGATGGTGCTCGGCTGCAAACGCCGACGGCTCCATCGTGGAAACAAGCGTTGCAAGGTTTCCGATGAAATGACGGTCACTGATGATCCCGAGTCATTCAGCACGCCATTCAGCTCTCGACCCAGTGTCTATGACACTGTCTAACCATCTCATCCTTTGCCGTCCCCGTCTGCTTTGACCTTCAATCTTTCCCAGCATCAGGGTCTTCTCCAGTGAGTGCTCCCTTCTCATTTGCTGGCCAAAGTATTTGAGCTTCAGTTTCATTATCTGGCCTTCCAGGGAACAGTCAGGGTTGATTTCTTTGAGGATTGACTGATTGTGGTTCATCCAGGCCAGCATTTCGCATGATGTACTCTGCATATATATTAAATAAGCAAGGTGACAATATACATCCTAGTCGTACTCATTTTCCTATGCTGAACCAATCAGTTGTTCCATATCCGGTTCTAACTGTTGCTTCTTGACCCTTATACAGGTTTCTCAAGAGACATGTGAAGTGGTCTGGTACTCCCATCTCTTTAAGGACCTGCCATAGTTTGTTGTGATCCACACAGTCAAAGGCTTTAGCATAGTCAATGAAGCAGAAGTAGATGTTTTTCTGGTACTCTCTTGCTTTCTCCATAATCCAGCGAATGTTGGCAATTTGATCTCTAGTTCCTCTACCTCTTCGAAACCCAGCTTGTACTTCTGGCAGTTCTCTATCCACATACTGTTGAAGTCTAGCTTGTAGGATCTTGAGCATGACCTTGCTAGCGTGTGATATGAGTGCAATTGTGCGATAGTTCGAACATTCCTTGGCATTGCCCTTCTTTGGGATTGGAATGTATACTGACCTTTTCCAATCCTGTGGCCACTGTTGTGTTTTCCAAATTTGCTGGCAAATTGAGTGCAGCACTTTAACAGCATCATCTTTTAAGACTTTGAATAGCTCAGCTGGAATATCATCACCTCCACTAGCTTTGTTGTTAGCAATGCTTTCTAAGGCCCATTTAACTTCACATTCCAGGATATCTGGCTCAAGGTCAGTGATTATACCCTCTCGAGGTCTTTCTTGTATAGTTCTTCTGTGTATTCTTGCCATCTTTTCCTAATCTCTTCTGCTTCTGTTAGGTCCCTACCGTTTTTGTCCTTTATCATGGCATAAAAGAGAGGCATAAAAGGCCAATATTTTAGAACGCCTTTTGGGAAAATTTTTGAGGAATCTTGTTTTTCCATTCATCCATTGCCAATTGTCGGTTATGAGAACCTGAAGGATAAAAGCAATAATCTCTAGGATCATTAAAACCTCCTGCTCCTTTCCCCTTTCACTCCCGGCGGGCCCTTCAAGAGTATTCTTCAGGCTCCGCTGGTTACGCTCCCGTTTAACGCCGCTCTCAGCAGTTATGGGACTTGTAGTTTTCTAAAAGTATTCTTAGTTTGCCGGACGTCGCAGAAGACTACAAGTCCCGTGCTGCTTTGCGCGCAAACGAAAGGTTGCGCTCTCTCTGCAGAGGGCGGTGGCCGGGCCGGAGCGAGTCTTGGGGGCGTCGGGTTGGCTTTTCGCCCGAGAACAAGAAAGCGGGAGGTAGCGGGCGCTGGGTTGCAGTGACATCCGAGCGCCCCCAGTCTTCGCCTCTTCCCCTTCGTGCGCCCCTCACGCTGCCTCTTCTCTGGCAGTTTGTTTCTGCGACTCTCCGGCTGAAGGTGACGAGGCAGGAGCGGGGCGGGAGGGCGTCGGAAATGGCTGAGACGGTGGCGGACACCAGGCGCCTTATCACCAAGCCGCAGAACCTGAATGACGCCTACGGGCCGCCTAGCAACTTCCTCGAGATCGACGTCGCCAACCCACAGACCGTCGGCGTGGGCAGGGGCCGCTTCACCACCTACGAAGTCAGGGTCAAGGTGAGAGACTTGGGGGGGGGGGAGCTGCTGAGGGTCCCGGATTAGCCCGACTCTGTTCGCCTCCGCTATGGGGCAGCTCTTGTCTATGCAGCCTCCAGATAGCAGGGCCCCTCTCTCCCCGGTCATTCCTCTGTCCTGTCTGGGTAGCTGCAAGAGGGGTGTCTTTCAGACTGAAGACTCCTGGAAGAGTTCCCTCTTCATCCTCCCCTTCCCCTTTATATGAGGGCACGGTTCTTTTTGTGAGGGCTCATTGTGCCTGTCCCTAAAGATGCTGACATTGCAGGGCAAGGGCTGATGTTTCTTGATCATTTTAATCTCATGTATCCCTAATGGGTAAGATTTGAAGGCTGGTAATATGATAGAATTCTTGACGTTTGGTCTGGCAAGTCAGGCTACCGATGCAGTCCTGTGGTGTTGTAGGTGTGAGAGAAGATGGGGTTTGAATGTGTCTTTGTGCACGTCAAGAGAGAATGTAATATCATGTTATAGTAAGGATTGTAAAGATGTTGTAAAGATTTTAAGAAATATATCTTCACTCCTTTGTGAACAGATTAAATTCGTAATCTAATCCAGCATCCTGTCTCACACAGTGGCCACCCAGTTCCTCTGGATGGCCAACAACGGCATAGTGGCCAAGGCCTTCCCCTGATGTCTCCTGGCTCTGGGATTCAGAGGCTTAGTGCCTCTGAATGTGGAGGTTTCCCACCATCACCATGGGTAGTAGCCATTGATAGGCTTATCCCCCATGAATCCATCGAATCCCCTTTTAAACACTGTTTATTCCTGTGGCCATCACTACATCTTCTGCCTGCAAATTCCACATTTTAATCATTTTCTGTGTAAAATAGTATTTCCTTTTGTCCATCCTAAACCTACTGCCCATCAGCTTCATTGAATGCCCTTGATTTCTAGTATTTGGGGAGAGGGACAAAAAATTATCTTTGCCAACTCTCTCTACCCTATGTATAATTTTATAAACCTCTATCATGTCCCTCTCCCTTACTCCTCTATTTTCTAAACTGAAAAGTCCCAGACTCTTCAACCTTTCCTCATAGGAAAGGTGCTCCAACCCCCTAATTATCTTGGTTGCCCTCCTCTGTAGTTTTTCCAGCTCTACAGTGTGACCCCTGCAAGGTCACCAGATATGGTGACCAGAACTATACACAGTATTCCAAATGAGGCCGCACCATAGATCTATACAGGGACATTACGATATAGGCCATTTTATTCTCAATATGTTTCCTAATAATCCCTAACATAGAGTTTGCTATTTCACCACTGCAGCACATTGGGCTGACACTTTCACTGAGCTATCTGCTGTGACCACAAGATCTTTTTCCATCTCAGTCTCAGCAACTTCAGACCCATTAGCCTATACTTGAAGTTGGGAGTTTTTTTGTTCCAATGTGCATCACCTTACACTTACCAACACTGAACTTCATTTGCCACATTGTCACTCACCCAGTTTATGGAGGTCCTCTTGGAGCTCTTTTTTTTTTTAAGTACCCATAGGTACACTTTTATTAATTTTTCTTTTATAATCTACAACAAACAAATCTACACACTACAAACAGACACTCTACTACACATAACATGTATACCAAGAGTACAGTTACATTATATGCTTATATCCAATTACTTAATTAATAGAAACGTCTATCACTTTCCATTCTTCTGTCTTCTGTGTTCTCAAGTCCATTGTGCCATAATTGCCTAATCTTCTATTGTACTTACATTATACCAATCATAAAACTTTTTCCATGTTTTTTGAAATGTCCACTCTTTGCTTAATCTCATTTCTAAAGTCAGTTTATCAATTTCTGCTGTTTCAAAAAGTTTATTCACAAACTCCTGTTTTGTTGGTATCACCATAGTTTTCCAATATTTGGCATATAAAATTCTTGCAGCTGTCGTCATATAAACAGTCAAATACCTATTCTCTTTTTCATAATCATTTGGAAATATATTCAACAGCAAGACCTCTGGAGTAAATGGAATCTTTGCTCTTAGTATCTTCTCCATCAAACTATGGACCCATTTCCAAAACTTTTTTGTAACATCGCATAGCCACCACATATGATAAAATGTGCCCCTTTTACTCTTACATTTCCAGCATTTATCAGAACAGTTAGTATTTTGCTTAGCCAATCTATCAGGTGTAATATACCATCTATAAAACATCTTATACATATATGTTCCGGTAGTTTAAGATTGTCCTTACTATCCAAAATGTCCTGATACCTCAATGTTTCTTCTCCTGTATAAGCATTTGGCAGCGTAAATGCCTCTAATGGTGTTATTAGTCTCGATCTTCTAGTATAAAATTTTTTATGGATTCCGTCCCAAACTTTAAGTAAAGAGGCTCTCAACCAATGCTGTTTAAAGTACTTATGGGAATTTGCTTTCTCATACCATAAAAAGGCATTCCATCCAAGTAACAAATCATGTCCTTCGATTTGCAACAATCTTGTATCTTCGAGAGTGACCCACTCTCTAATCCAAACTAGAGCCACCGCTCTATAATATAAAAGCCAGTTTGGGACTCCAAATCCACCTCGCCCTTTCACGTCCTGCAACATTTTTAACCTTATTCTCGCCTTCTTTCCTTGCCAGATGAACTTAGCTCCTCTTGGAGCTCTTCATAGTCAGCTTTGGTTTTCACCACCCTGAATAATTTTGCGTCATCTGCAGACTTTGCCACTACACTACTCACACCTAGTTCCTGATCATTTATTAAATAGTACCAGCCTCAGTTAAATAGTACCAGCCCCAATGCTGATCCTTGTGGGACCCCACTGCTTACTTTCTTCCATTGTGAGAACTGTCCGTTTATTCCTACTCTTTGTTTCCTGTCATTTAACCAATTTTTAATCCATAAGAGAACCCATCCTCTTATCCCATGACTGCAAAGTTTACTCAGGAGTCTTTGGTGAAGTACTTTGTCAAAAGCCTTTTGGAAGTCCAAGTAGATAATGTCTACTGGGTCACCGTTGTCTCTTTCTCAAAGAACTCGAAAAGATTGTTGAGGCAGCGTTTGAAGAAGCCGTGCTGATTTTCTCTCAGCAGGCTTTGTCCCTCTAGGTGCCTAACAATTCTACCTTTGCAATTTCTACTAATTTGCCTGGTACAGATGTTAGGCTGACTGGCCTGTAATTTCCTGGTTCTCCTCTAGATCCCTTTTAAAAAATGAGTGTAACATTTGCTACTCTCCAATCTTCTGGTACGGCAGCTGAATTTAGTGATAGGTTACATGTACGCTAGTAGATCAACTATCTCACATCTGAGTTCCTTAAGAACGCTTGGGTATATGCCATCAGGACCTGGAGATGTATTGGTTTTTAATTTCCCCTATAGGTCTAAAACTTATCTCTGGTCACCTCAAATTGGCTCAGTTCTTTTGAGTGATCTATAAAGTTCTTCTGAGTGATCTATAAAGCAAAAGGCCCCTTACTGAAAATAGGGGCTGTGGCATAGGTATGTGCGTTACACTTTCCACGGTGAATACAGAAGCAAAAAATGTCATTGAGCTTCTCTGACATCTCCCCATCTTCCTTTGGCAATTCCTTTATTACATTGTTATCCAAAGGCCCCACTGCTTCTCTGGCTGATTTCCTGCTCTGGGTGTATTTATTGTTTGTCTTGATGCTTTTAGCAACCCACTTCTCAAAATCTCTTTTTGCATGCCTAATTATTGACTTACATTTCTTTTGCCAGAGCCTGTGGTCCCTTCTGTTCAATTCATTGGGGTCTCTTTACTTTTTATACCTTCCTTTACTCATGTTGTTAACCATGCGGGCTTTCTTTTAGACCTGGCAGTGCCTTTTCCTAACCTGTGGAATGCATTCTATTTGGGCTTCAGTTTGTGTGGTTTTAAACAGCCTCCAAGCATCCTCTAGGGATTTGACTCTCTTGCGTTTCCCCTTCAGCTTCCTTTTTACTATTCCCCTCGTTTTTGTAAGGTCCCTTTTTTGAAAACAGATGTTACAATTTTGTACTTCAGGGGTAAATCTCCATTGACCTGAATGCTGAACTTAATAGCATTGTGGTCACTGTTCCTAACTGGCATAACAACCTCTACATCTCTCACCAGGTCTTGAGACCCACTCAGAACCAAGTCCAAGATCACTACCCCTCTGGCAGGCTTTGTGACTAGCTGTTCCATTGCAGTCAATTTATGATGTATAGGAATTTCATTCTACAGCATGACTCGAGCACGTGTTTACCCAGGCAGTGTGAGGGTAGTTGGAGTCTTCCAGTATGCAACAGTGCTACATAATAAGACTTATGCAAACTGGTAGCAAAGTGGCTAAGAAAATATGCTACAGTCTTCAGGGTTACTGATTCAAACCACTTCTCTGAAGCAAAATAAAGCAGGAGTCCAATATATGTGGAGTAGCAGAGTTTACTCTGGTATACGCTTTTTGTGAGTCAGTGTTGCCTTAGTAGATACACAGGCATCTAGTAGGATGATCTGGACACAATACACAATGGGGGGGGGGAGCCAGTGTGGTATAGTGGGTAGAGTGTTGGACTAGGATCTGGGTGAATAGGCTTCAGTCTCTGCTCTACCATTGAAGCTTTCTGAATGACTTGGGGACAGTCACACACTCTCAGCCTAACCTGCCTCAGAGAGTTGTGAAAGTTAAATTAAAAAAGAGGAGAATAATGTAAGCTGCTTTGGGTGCCCATTAGAGAGAAAGGTGGGGTATAAATAAGTCTTATGAGGAGAGGCCTATTTAAAACAAGATACAATCAAAAAATGATCAGCTGTAAACTTAATAGGTAAGCAAGCTTGGTTCTCTCTCTCAGTGCCCCCTCAAGAGATCGGGAATTATACTTTCTTCCCTTACAAGGCTGTTGTAAGGATTTCAGCAAGGCTGAATGTCTGAAGCACTTTGAACACTCAAAACACTGTCAAATGTTTATTATGCCCTGCCTCATGTAGCAGGGTGTCAACTTCATTCCCAGGTACTTCTAATTGATTTTTTCCCCACTTGTTT